ACCGCTGTGAGTTTCTCAAGTGTCTTTTCAGCATTACCCAGACAGGAACATGCGGCTTCCACACAGGTCCGGCACTATATCGGTTTTCTCTCATCCCGTGTGAGTTCTTCATGTGTGTCTTCTACATCACTCGAAGTTGTGAAAGCGTCAGCATCAACATAGATCGCAACTTTATATTGGTTTTCTCTCCCCCGTGTGGCGTTCTTTATGTGTATCTTCAGCAACACTCATACGAGAGAAAGCACAATCACACAGAATTCCGGCACCAGTGATATCGGTTTTTTCCCTGAACATGAAATTGTCACGTAGTTCCATTGTGTGCTTCTAGGGAAAGGCTGCCCCGTGACGGTCACAGAAAGTCGTGAGGATTTCTCCCGCTTCCTGGCGCTCAAGCTGGGCGATCGCCCAGACGTGTTTTGCTTCGAAAGACGGCCACGTCACATGCGTGAAAATTATACGTCCTATTATCAGGCGTCGCGGCTACAGAATTAGCAAAGAGAAAAAGAGTAATCACGAATAGCTGTTGTAAATCGAAGGCCCGCGCGGGAGAGAAACCGTATAAGTGCGATCTATGTGATGCTACCTTCGCACGATCAGATGATGTGAAGACACACATGAGAATTCACACGGGAGAGAAACCGTATAAGTGCGAACTGTGTGATGCTACCTTCTCGCAGTCAGGTCATGTGAAGACACACATGAGAACTCACACGAAAGAAAAAATCATTCAAATGTAACATTTGAAGTGAGTGAAGCTTACGCTCTGAAGACACTCTATAACAACACACGACAATGTATAATAATTCTAGAGAGATGTCGTACAGATGTAAGCAGAAAGTATATCTCGAACTGTCAGACTCACATGTAATAGCAGCTTGGCTCTGTGAAAACGTGAGCGCACAGTACACATGTGAACTGAGGCAGTGTGGAATCCCAACGAATGCAACTGTTACAGCTTCTTTCCAGATTGGAAGCTGAACTAGGAATTGCTTGTGAAAGCCGTGACACATCTTACGTTATACAACCTGATGGTGATATTTTTGTATTTCTAATAATAATTTCTAATAAGAGTATTACTCTACCTAATGTGTGACCATTATATAATCGTGTAAATTTAATAGCATTTGTGAAGAATTATATGTTTGAAGACTGATCTAATAAAACGCATAGTAGTATTATTATTTGTAATTTGTCATATATCTCCCCGAAAAGGGAATGTGTATGTATAAACACTTACGCGCACGCACTCACGCACGCACACGCACACACGCACGTAAACACTACGGAAGAGTTGTTGCGTTTGTTTTTAATCGAAAAACGTGGTCTATGATGGTATATTACCTTGTTGATGTGTTGTAATGTTGGATTTAATCATACAATTGACCATTTCATTAGTTTTGGTGCATTTTATCAATTTAATTGGATTCAGCGTGTATGTTGAATTATTGTTGCTTAGCAATATCCTACATAATTTTTGATACTTCAATTGTGTTCCTCACATGTGAAAACCTAGGTGTAGACACCAAATTCATCGCCCCAGCTTGATTCTATCAAAAGTTATTGCCGATTTCCCATTTGGCCGATTAGGCACGGCGGCCATCTTGGATTTACGCAAATAGGTGCATTTTATCACCTCGTTTGTGGTTGGAATGGATTCAGCATGTATGAAAACATAGAAAATGACACTTTATTCATGTTTGCACGACATTTTGTCACAAAGATATGTCATTTTTAAGATATTCCGGAATCGGATGGCGGCCATCTTGGATTTACGCAAATAGGTGCATTTTATCAACTCGTTTGTGGTTGGAATGGATTCAGCATGTATGAAAACATAAAAAATGACACTTTATTCATGTTTGCACGACATTTTGTCGTAAAAATATGTCATTTTTAAGATATTCCGAAATCGGATGACA